GGACGACAGAATAAGATGACAGTTAGGACGACAGAACAAGACGACAGTAAGGACGACAGAATAAGATCAAGAACAAGACGACAGAACAAGACGACAGTAAAGACAACAGAACAAGACGACAGTAAGGACAACAGCAAGGACAACAGAACAAGACGACAGTAAGGACGACATGTAAGACGACGTTAACAGACAACATACATGTCAACATATACTGATTTACCTGAACAAGTAGGCAATGACTGTAGACAAAGACAAATGTATAGTACAAAGCACAAAGCAGTCGACTCATTTTTGACACAAATGGAACCTCATAGAGAAATGTCACAGAAGATAAGTTACTATGGAAACACCAAGTCCCACAGTGGTTGAGAATAAAGCCTGTGTTCCTCCACTGAATCACAGTTGAGCTGAGTCTGGATTTGTTTAGTCTCACTGTGGATCCCGGACTTAAGAGCAGGAATGATCCTTTTTACCTGCATTCAAATGCAATATATGGATACTTTAACACAGAGGCAGGTTCCAAAATTAGCTGAACTGTTTTATACATATAGAAAATATTTTAAGTCCGTTTAAACTAGGATCCCTTAATGAATCCCTCACCCCTGTCTAAGATCACATGAAATCTCATAGGTGAAGTCACCTGTTGGCTTTATCTCTGGAATGTATCACATCCCAATATTATAGTTAGAAAATATGCATACAGATTTCAACATTTCAAACTATATGTGAGGACGCACAAACTGATCTCTAATCAGCAGTGAGGAGCAACGTCCCCCAGTGCTGCAAATGACTTCACAAAACTCTCAACACCTTCATCTCTCAGCAGAGCTAAAAGGTCAGGTTGTTTGAACTTCACCACTAGGGGCCTCCCTCTTACTTACCAAACATCAAAGTACACTGATGTGAGTCGCACTGATGTGTGTTTGTGCACATGAGTGTGTCTACATCTGTTTGTGTGTGCATGTTAGTAAATATGTGAATATATGCACACTATGTGAATGTGTGGGGAGGAGAAGAGAGAGAACAACACAATGTGAATAGGAAATGTTTCCATCAGCAGCACTGTATTTGATAATAATGGCGTTTGCCCTCTTATATTGAGTCATTTTCTGTCAAGATGAGTTTACGGAATTATTTCGAGATGCCTTTCAAGGCAGTTATTAATAGAGAAATTAAGCATTATTGTTATTATGATGGTATCTTTATCTTTCATACAGGCAAAAGTCTAGGATGTGAATAAAAAATAGTTATTATATTTTAATGTTAATAATACAATTCTATCAAAAATCAATTATATTTATAAATGTAAACTTATAAATTATATATACATTCCTTTTCAAAAGCTGGGGTCTAAGATTTTTTAAATGTTTTTGAAAGAAGTCTCTTTTCCTCACCATATATATATATATATATTTAGGCCTATTCTTTATTCTATTATTATTTTACTAATATACAGTAAAACAGTAATATTGTGAAATATTATTATAATTTAAAATAATTATTTTCTATTCTACTATATTTTACAATGTGTAGTCACATGAGTCACTTCAGTGTCACATGATCCTTCAGAAATCATTTTAAGATTTTCTTATTATTTCTTATTATATGTCGAAAACTGTTG